CTGCTGCAGCAGCCTAGCACATGGTTAGGTGGTTATCTTGCCACTTGGCTGCTCTAACCAATAAATTCACTGCACCTACTCACTATAGGCTAAGGGAAAGCTCAGTCTCCCACTTTGTCTCTTAAAGCCAAGCGCATTACAATCACAAAGCAAATCCTTCTTCTCTTTATGATATCCCATTGTGCCCAACGGTCTAAACTGAGGTCTGGTAGCCTACGTGGAAAATAAAAGAAACGCAGTCTCACAATTTAACTGGAGCTCTTGTCCCCCTGTCAGGAGAATTTATTGTTGCATGACCTATTCACACTAGGTGGCAGCATTAAGAATGTTCCTGCAGCTTGCCAGCTCCCCAGCTTATGAACATGCACCCTCTGGTGTATCTGTTAAAATCCAGACTGTTTCTCCTCTTTTTCTTTTAAAAATGAAATGAAGTGGGGCTGAAAAGCAGGAAGAACTGAAGCATGGAAAAGACACTACAGCAAGAAGAGAACAGCTCTGGTTCAGCAAATCTTTGAGATGCAGATTGTTGGAGGCTGGTGGAACATTTTGAAGAAGTATTACTTCATGCTTACCCTGTTCTTAGACTCTTCCTCAGGCATCTGCTGTTGGTCACTGTCCCTCAGCTGGATGGTCTTGTCCAGCATGCCTGCTCTTATATATGGAAAGCATTTCTTCCAAATCATACTAAAAATACTGTGACCAACATGATGAATGGCTTTGGGAGTTAGAAATAAGAAGTCCCTTTCAGAATTAAAACCTGAAGAAAGCTGGTTCAACTCTGCCCTCAACAATTTTCTGTTTTCATAAACACCTGAGCTCTGGCAGCTGTAGCTACGTGTCTGAGGTGTCAGCTTCATGTGGCTGAGCAGTGAAATCCCATAAGCCATCTGCCTGTCAGCAGTGCCATGATTTCTGGAGAGAATTTCAGTCGTCCAGGGCCAGAACCTTACCGAATTGTGTGAAAGCCAGAAACCTGAAACAGAGAGTGGAGGCTGTATGGAGCTCCGAACAGCTGCTTAGCCCACCAAGAGCCTCTGCAAATATCTCTAATTCCAAGAAACAACCAAAAGTGTTATGCTGAAGAGCACCAATGATTCCCTGGGCCTGCTGTTACCTAGCAGGTCAGACCCATCCCAAGCACCCTAACATAGTTGTCAGTCTTCCTCTCCAGCCCAACAAAGAGAAAGAAAAAAAGAAAGAGGATGGGGAAGGATCAGAAGAAAGGAGGCACACACAGCCCTTAGCATGGGCAACAAGATCCCATGATTTGGGATGGAGCATGGCAGATACAGAGCTCACTGAATTTTTAGTAGGGTGCAAGACAGTATCTTGCATGAAGGACTGTGTATGTGTGGGAAGGGGATCGTCATTGGCAAACCTCGACATATGTAGGGGTGGGAAAGCTTCATGCAGACATCTGATGAAAAAAAAAAAGGATGGACATGAAGATCCACCACTATGGGCTGTGGGTGACCTGCCTATTAGCACATAGGAAATCCAAGCCATTTCTCAAAACAAAATGTATGACTTAACTATGCCACATCCTGTATGAAAAAAACCCATAAAAAACATAAGGACTGCCTGCCTTAAAATTGGTTATACTTTATCTGTAAGACCAGAGGCAACTGGCGCATACAGAGAAAGCAAGCTAGGGCAACAATCATGAGAAAGAGATGTTTCTGTGCTCTACGGGACAACATGCAAAATCTTTTGACATTTTTAAAGTATTGTGATATGGAAGAGGTTTGGCAAAGGGTCTGAGATGAAGACAGCTTTCAGTCGTCAGTCAAAAGGTGCATTTGCAAGAGGTTCAGATAACAGGTTTCAAAATAAGCAATTTGGGATTACCAGGGTGCTTTCAGGTCCACTCCCCAGCAGGAGGCAGCAAACAGATGCCTATTGGAATCAATGCTAGAAATACTGGCCCGCTGCTGCCCCAAAGATCCTAAATACTGCACAGTCTGTAGGTCACCAAGGTCACAGGCAGCAATGTGGATAACCCTAGCTTTTTTCAGATGTGAGGTATTTGCTCCCAAAACCGAGCTGTTTTTTTCTTAGATACCTTTGAATTTTCTCCTTGCACAGTTCTTTAGAGGCTGTTACAGGGAAACTGAGGCAGAATTATAGGAGAGGTATAGCAGAGGCAGTTTCTGGCTTGGGTTTACACCACTATTCATCAGGAGCCCCAGGCCCTTTCAGCAGAGCTGCTGCCCAGCCCTCAGTGCCCAGCCTGTACCTCTGCAGATGCTGCTCCATCCCAGAGCCTGCAGGTTCCCCACAGTCGGTGCAGTTCCTGCACACAGGGGGCTTCACACCTATACAATTAAACATTCTTCAGACTGACCCCTCCAGGAATGACAGCTAGTCTCTCAGCCCTCTCCCCCTGATAAACTCGCACAGCCCACCTTTATTTTTACCATATTTCCTAGGTTACAGTGATAATTCAGTCATGCTATAGCATGTCTCCTGCAGGCAAACCAAGGCAGGCCATCCAGTCTTACAGAGCTACATCTATGCAGATACACACTGCAGCAGCCCTCACCATTCCTATGCTGGAGAGGGCTTCTTCCAGCAGGCTATCAAAAAATATTTTATAGAAACACAGTTTATGAAACAAAGGAGGAAACAGGACAAATTAGAGTTAGGCTAGAAAGCTGAAATAAAGTATCCCTGAATTTCTTTTGACCCTGACTGCACAATAAAGGGTTGAATACTTCTGACACTGCAATCTTCTTTGGTAGAGAAGTGATCCCAGGATTCCTCATGTATGGATAAGGGCAAATGTATGTCGGGAGGGTACTGGTCTCCATGGGAAGGCCATCCCTGCCCATACAGTCTGAGAAAGGAGCATCTCTGGTGATTGAGGAAGCAGCAGTTGCAATGAGGTCACTGTGAACTAGGCTGGCAGAGCTCTCCAAAATGCATGATTAAGACATTTCAAAAATGACTCCACACTTTCTGGTTTTAAGAAATTTAAATGGGCCTCATTGGCAGAAAGGGCTGATTGCTGGCCCTCTGCAACACAGTGGGAACTTTATCTTTTCTCAAGGCAGACATTCACACTGGTTTAGGGTACATATGCTACCACATAGCTTAGCCACCACTTTATCATCCTCATACCCTATTCTGCATCTGAAAACAACTGCTAAAAGCAGATGGCTGTTGCAACCTATTGCTTATAGAATCATAGAATTGTTTAGGTTGGAAAAGACCTTCAAGATCATCAAGTCCAACTGTCAACCTAACCCTGCCATCCCACCACTAAACCATGTCCCTAAGCACCACATCTACCCTTCTTCTAAATATCTCCAGGGATGGGGACTTGACCACTTCCCTAGGCAGCCCCTTCCAATGCTTAACAACACTTCTGGTGAAAAATTTTTTCCTAATATCCAACCTAAACCTGCCCTGGTGCAACTTGAGGCCATTTCCCCTCGACCTATCACCCATTATCTGGGAGAAGAGACCAACACCCACCTCACTACGCACAACCTCCTGTTGTCTTTCCTGTAGTGAGGGGCCCCTGTTTGACAGGAACAGTTTGTGAAAATTTAGCACCTTGCTGCAGGTTTGCTTCTCAGAGACAGAGGAATTGCTACCATGTGCAATGAAGCACAAGGGAGGACTCAATTTTAAAGAGCAGGGCCTTGCAATTTCTTGTGCAAGTAGTCTTCTTTCAGTAAATGATGCTGTAGGGTTAAGTCAAATTCGGTCGGGTTTTTTAATATATTTGCAGGTACCAAATTCAAGTACTCAGAGGTATAAGCATATTGCTCTCCAGGACAGAGTCCCAGAAGCACTCCAGCTACTGTACCACAGGCTGCTGCAGAGGTCTAACCGCATGGGCTAGTTTGTCTGAATACTGCCTTCCTCTCTCACAGAATCTGTCCATAAGCAAGGCTACTACTTTTCTACACTAATTGCTGCTCCTGAACATGAGTTCAGGAGGCTATCAAAGGCTATTCAAAGGCTATCGAGAGCAGCGAGGCTCACTAGGGAAGTAAGGACAGCTGATAAACACAGCTAGGAAACACATCTAGAAAACCACCTGAAATGTTATGTACACTGCAGTGCATTGCTTTATGGGATGTGCAGGTACTGGGCTCCTCCTATGAAGGTATACCACAGGAAAGGTTAAATGAAAGCCACAGCTCATGCTGAGCTGTGGTGATGGTCAGACATGTAGTTCATTTACAAGGAGTGCATAGAAGATGGCCCTAACTACAGTAGGAACAAACAACAGCAGAGTATCGCTTCATCGAGCAGCGTCACCCAGGCACCTCCACTTCCCTCGCCCTCACAGGAGCCTCCTCACAACTATTTCTCTCCCAGATCTTGTACCCAGAGGCTGTAAGTCATGATTCCCACCCCTGCCTTTGCTGCAAGTGAAAACAGTCACCCTTGCAAAAGGGTAGGCCCCCTCCGGCTCCCTTGTGAATGTATAGCAGCCCACCAGCTTCTTTCATTGACTCTGAAAAAAAATTTAGCACATGCACTAACTAGGGCTGAGATTGCCTTAAAGGTAAAAAGCTCACTTGGGGATGGTCACCAACACAGTACCTTCCTAGTCATCTCTAGCACATCTCAGATGGGCAAAAAATCTGAGAGAAAATTGTCACTAGAATATTTTTGCCCCAGAAAAAATAGGAAAACTCGAAGGAATTGTCACAAAATATTCATGAGTGGTTAAAAAAGGTAAGTGGTAAATGCAGATTAAGTTTTAATTCTGCAAAGAATTTTTGAAAAATCAATTTGATTCTCGGTATTTCAGACAAATGGCCAGCTGTAAGTGAATTTGAACTGGATCTTGAGAGCACAGCTTGTTGATATTATCGTATCTGCAGTAGTATCTACTCAAGAATCAAAACAAAAGAGTAACTTCAAGGCTTTGGCCTTGTTGAACTACAAAAACTCTGAGGCTGTGGCACAGGCTTCAGCACTGATAAATAAAGCAAACTGCTGCTTTCGCATTTCCTTTGAAAGACAAGACGACTGTGTTCCCCCAAGATGTGACATCGTCTAGTAAGTGACTGTTTTCTTGATTTCAAGTGAATAGGTAGACAGTTAAAAAAAAAAGAAGCTTTAACATTTATATATATTCAAACTTGAAAGATTTTGTTAGTATCATACATATCCTCCATCCTGATATGCAAAATTTAAGAGAAAGGGCGGGGTTTTATTCAGGCTGTTGAAGATACTGATTTTGCATTCTCATTCTGTTATTAAATCTTTCCTGATGACTTGTTATTGCAGTAGCTCTTTGGTTTATACTTGCTAGTTTTTAAAAAAGGTCTTTAGACAATTTTTTTTTATATCTGGAACTCAGAGGGTGTATGTTAATCACCTCCTTTCCATTTATGCTCTAGAATGTTTTTTCCAACTAGTATGTGCTTGAAAACCTCTCATGTCTTCCAACAAGTACACGTATGAGATAATTTCACCTTTTCTGACTACAGTCTCAAAACCCTTTTGTAATGAAATTGGTTCATTTCTAAGCAAGGCACATCACATGATGCTGACAAGCATTATTTACCTTTTTCTGTTTATAGCCTGTATTTATTGTCATGACAAATTATGCTGTTTATTATTATATGCTAAAATTACTTTTAATTTAGATTTATTTTTAAAAAGAGTGATCTATATTGGATTTTCTGCTTGGAACCCTGAGCCAACAGAAATACACAACTAGCAAGACAATTATTACTGCTTTTTACACCCTGCTTTTCAGGTGCAGATACTAAAGCAGGATAGCTGGTCAGCACAACAGATATGAGACCATGGAGACCAAATGGGTGAAAACCCCTGTAATACTGACTACCAGCTCCTGTGATGCCCAGTTCCCAGAGTGGTAGAAATTATAAGCAGCCTTCTCCTGGTGACAGGAGGAGAACTATCTATGCTGGGGCAACCCATAATAGCTTTTTCTAACTCTCCATTACTTGCTTACATTTTCATTTCATTAATTCAAGAGTTAATTTTAACAGCAAATCCTGTATTAACACACTGGACGCTGCATTGCTCTCCTCCCTTTTCTACTTGTAGTTTTGTTCCTATCCAATTGAAGCTTCTATTAAACTTTAAATCTTTTTAGAACCTAGACTCAGTCCATACAGAGTGTAACAACATTTTGCTGTAAATAAAGCCATCCTGCTTGCTATTGTCCTGAACAGGGAATTCTCTTCCTCCTCCCTCCCCATCTACCTAATACAATGCTTTCCCACTATCTCACTTCAGGTAGAAAGATTACTACTGTTCTTTCCTTTGAGAAAAACTGGAGTAACTCCATGCATGGCTAGTCTGACAAGGCATAACAACTCTGAAGTTTGGGACAGCATACAATGTGGATTCTAACTTAGGTGTGTGAGTAACAAGCAAGATGCTTTAAGACCTTCTGGCTAGAAAAATATCAGATAACATAATAACAATGCATCATGAATAAATGAAAACCCTTTTAAAGGAAAATGCTGGACTTTCTTCCTCTTAAAAGTTACCATCACGGGGGGGGTGGGGTGGAGAAAAAAGCTTACTGGTCTCTGTTTTAGTGGAGTTGAGGGGCTGGTCTGCAGAAGATAAGGATCTCCCACTATGTTCATAACTTCCGTACCATTTTATACACACTTGCAGCACGTTTTTAGTAGCAAAGATTGAAAATATTTGGTAGAGATGGTCAGCTGTTCCAGAAACTGTTCAGCCTCATAATACAGGATCAACCTTTAAAAGAGCCTTCTTGAACAACTCTGAGCTGTAACTTCAGCTTCTCTGGAACACAACAGTTGAGATTAAAAAGGTTTTTGGCTTTAGCAGCTCTTTCTCAGCCCCTTACTGCTCTCCAGCATAAAAAAAAAAAAAAAGAAAAAAAGACAGACTTGGGCTAGAAATTAACACACCTGACTTTGCCTCAAAATGTGTGTACAGTTCTGCAAGGTTAACCTACTTTTATGCACGTAGGATTTTTTCTTTCTTTTTTTTTTTTTTTTTTTCCCAGAGAGGTTAGTAATCAGTCAGGCATTTGAGCCTTATTCTTCCTGCTGTCAAACCAAGAAGGAACTTAAATGGCTATATTCAGACAGAAGAAAGAAGGAAAAGAAATAAAACTTAAGGCCTTTAAGACCACAAGAATGTAACATGACAATAAACTTCTAGAGCATCAGTTGAAAGGTTTAGGAGCCCAGCTAACTGAGAAATGTAAAGTGCTTGATGTGAAAAAACATCTTTAATTTAGAATGATCTCTTCTGCAGCATTCTGTTCTCTATTGATATGCAGATCTGCTCGTGTCAGCATGTGGGGTAGACAAGAATGTCAGAAGCCAGTGCCTGCTATTTGTATACAAGAAAATTGTCCACAGCTGGAGTTCAAAAATTATCCTAGTCTGGCTTCCATACTAAATCCATAGTAAAACTCCCATCTGCTTTCACCAAAAGCAAATTAGGGTATTACTGCCTGAATTAGAAAATTCCTGTGAAGAACATTAATGTAATAGGAGAAAAGTTAGTTACAATTTTAAATATTTTGGTCTGTCCAGAGAGCGAAAGTTCTATCTTATTATGGAAAAAATCCCTATTATATATTATTATATATAATCCCTATTACGGATTAAAAGCAGGTATTAAAAATGCTTCTTTTAAAAGAGTCATTCATAAAGGCTAATTTCTAGTCAGCTTGGACACCAGAAAGATCTGTACTACTTTAGTAAGCTATAACATAATGTTATGTTGTCAAATTAGAAAACTGAGTGCCTGGTAATTACTTTGTTTCAGCTTAGAGGAAAACACCTTCCCTTTACAAGAAAGAGCCAAGAAACACCATCTGACTGCTGTTGCAAAGAGTACGTAAAATAAAACACAGTGCTTCCATTTGTTTCAGTATACATTGCCTTGATGATGTTGGGACTAACTTACTTTTGCAGGTTATCTTCATCCCGTGCTTGGCCTCCATCTGAATTGAAAAGTAAAGTACTTTATAAAGATCCAGTAAATTTTCAAAGGCGCATGCAGTTTTACAGTGCTTTGGTGACTAACAGACTGCACTGGCTCTGCTTCTTGGCCTTATAGAAACTGTTTTGGGTAATGTTCAATCTGCTGCATGTTACAACTCACATGGACGAGGCCTTTCTGCCAATCTAAATGATTCAGAGGTGAATTCTGCTAATCTTACGCTGAGTAATATCTTGTAGTAGGACTAGTTCCACAGAAACATGCTCTTTGTACCTCAAGAGAGAGGACATTTAACCTTAGGCTGAATCTTTGAAAACCCCATCAACTTGTCTCACAGAAGACTTTACAAGGTAAACAGCTTGCAAATCTGGTTGTTGCTGTTACTCTTATGTGCTGGCAACAGCCCTGACAGAAAATGGCCCCTTGCCTTGGAGAGCTGACACTGTGATACTGCATCAGCTCTGGAGAGGGGGTGCAATGGAGGGGACATTCTTCTCTGTCTCACAGACAGAGAAGTGGTTGCTCCTCTGACAGTAATACAAACATTTGAAACAGATCAACTAAAATCAAATGGGGAAGAGACATTAATGAAAATCCTCTATGTTTCCAGTAACTCACTTGAGAAGGGGAGAGGAAGAAGTGCTGCCATCTGATGATGTGACTAACATCCAAACAATGAGCTAAAGCTGAACCACAAGCTCTAAGGGACTCACTCACTGAGACTCAAACCCTACTTTTCGAGACAGGTCCAACCCGAACCAAATGACTCTGAGCTTACAGCCTGCAACCTGAGCCTAAAGGCCGAATTTGGCAAAATAAATTCTGTTTCTCTCATGGGTTCCTCCAGAATCCCTTGATCGAATCACTAAACCACTGATGCATTTGAAAGCTTAACCCATATTCCATTTTCAGAAGCCTCTGTAATTGTCTTGTTTATCTTTCGAGAGGCCATCAGTATAAATCTGGTAACAGATGATGTGTTTAAATCCACCAGCTGTTGTGTTTGGGTCTTGACTGCCAAAACAACCCTCTTCAGCAAATGTATTTGCTTTTGTCTGTCACTGATGTTTTACTACAGCTCTTATCTGTTAGCACTTAGGATTCTGTCTGTCTCCTGGCTGTATTAGGATTTAATTATTTGCTGAGTAAAATATCTCAATGTGTCTCCTTACAGGCTGCCTTTAAAAAGAAGGTAACATGGCAACTACAGATGCTGCTAACTTTTATTATAACTTCTCCATTAATGACCCCAGTGAAAATGGAAGCGAGAATTTTCACACATTTACAAGAGTCTTCCTGCCCTGTATGTACTCGGTTGTTTTCATCCTTGGGCTAGCAGGAAACGCGCTGGTCTTTGTCATACTAGTTTTCTATGAAAAACTGAAGACGCTGACAGATATATTTTTGCTGAACTTGGCTATAGCTGACTGGGTCTTCCTTTGGACACTGCCATTCTGGGCACATTCTGCTGCTCAGGAGTGGACTTTTGGCACCATGGCGTGTCGCATTATACGGGGCTTTTATACTCTGAACTTGTACACTTCAATGTTAACTCTGACATCTATCACCTTTGACCGGCTTATTGCTATTACTTTTGCCACCAAAGCACGTATGTGTCAAACCAAACGAATGACATGGGGCAAATTAATCTGTGTTTTGATCTGGGTGATCTCATTAGCATTTGCTGCACCGCAGTTTATTTTTAGTGAGGTGTTTAATATTGATAAGGTAATATGTCAGGAAGAATACCCAAACCACCACACAGAACTGGTTCTTGAAGTGATTCAAGTGACCCTTGGCTATTTTATTCCCACACTAGCCATGATCATCTGCTATTCGCTAATTATTAGAACCTTACTGCACGCCAAGAGTTTTCAAAAGAACAAATCTCTAAAAAAAATATTTTCTGTAGTTGCCATATTTATTCTTACTCAGTCACCCTATACTTTCTTGAGACTGATCAAGATCATAGATTGGACCTTTAACTTGAACAGCAGCTTTGAATATGCAATCATCGTAACAGAAGCTCTTGCTTATTTCCATGGCTGCCTTAACCCTGTTCTGTACTTCTTCATGGGGGCAAAATTCAGGAGGAACTTACAGAAAATTATTAAAAACTCAAGATGCATCAAACGGCAAGTTACGGCTAAACAGTGGCAAACCACTGAAGAGGAAGGCTCTAAAACTTTTACTGCCTCAAATAATGCAGATGCAACAAGCATGTACCCACTATAAAACTACCTAGAAAAACTGGCAACTATTTACAGCTTTTTTTTTTTTTTTTTTGTAAATATTGAGATAGGTAGCCTGCATAGAAGAGGAAATACAATCTTATTAGTAAAGAGATTGTGACTGGCTTTAGGCTAACCTATCTTAATCATTATAATTCAGCATTTCCTGCTTTTCCTGGTCAGAGCTGTTCCTAAGACAAAGCTGGTAACTGAGTTAACTGTGCAGGAGGTCTTCAAAACTTATAAGAAACAATGAGATAAAACTGTTATTCATGACATAAAGCTAACTTGGACTTCGTGACTCAAAGGACTGGAGACATTCACCAAACCTTTGGTCTGTTGGTTTTCCATGAAACGTGTTTGTTAACAAAAACATTTATGGGTTTTGTTTCAAAGATATTACAGATTTTAGTTCAGTTCATTCATTTAATGAGAATTCCTGGATTAAAAACATATACATTTAAATCTTCATGCTGGGTATCATGTGTGGTTGGGGTTTTTTGCGTTTTTTTTTTTTATTTTTCCACTTGTGAGAAGGTCTCCACGCATGCTCCTTTAGCATTCATCTAAAATACCTGTAATAAAGAAGCATTTTCATCTGCCTTCCATCTAATATCAGGTTCATGGTCTGAATCTCCCATACATATCTTTGTATCTTCTGATAACAGAGCTCTTGTTGCCAGATGATTAGACCACCTGTCAACACAAGGGATAGCATACCACATGTGGGCTTTAACACTGAGCAGTGTTTCCTTAGATGCAAACTCTCACACCCTAATTCCCACACGTTCTTTGCACCATGACATCTTTCCAGTCTGTTTTTCCTGACATCCCCTTGGCACCCTGGTTCCCTTGCCATGAAACTGTGAATTCCTTAGTTGTTCTCCTTCCTTGTTCCTGCAGACCCTCCTTTCCACCTCTGGCCTTTTCACTTCCCAGTGGGAGGCAAAAAGGTGCGCAGGGGGGTAGTGCAGACTGGGGCAGAAAGTATGCAAAAACTCTTGCAGCGAGTAGCAGAACAGGGGTGGAGACTGGAACAGGGAAAAGAAAGAAGGGATGTTGGAGAGGAGCAGAGGGAGGGCTTTATGGAGCTGTGGGCTGCCTATGATGAAGGCAGGGTTGGGTCTGGCCCAAAGGCTGAAAGTCCTTTGCAATTACAGCTTTGAAATACCAGTTTTAACCTGTTTCAAACCATTCTTGCAATAACCGTGCTCACTCTGGATGTTCCTTTTCTCCCCATTAACACACAGTCCCTCCTACCAAATCACTGCAGCTCAGTGGTACCTGGCCCTTATTGGCACCATTGTGTTGACGTCACCTTTTTCCCCTTAGAAAGCAGCTGCTTAGGCAATCCTTTCTTTACTACACAATCTCTCATTTCTCCCATAGTAAAATGGTGCGATATCCTTAAAAACCAAACTAGGAAGGAACATGCTGTGCTTTCATGTTTGTATGGCAAGTAAAGCTGCTATCCCAACACAGAGCTGCAAGGCAGGCTTTGCCAGCAAAGGGTGGTGAGAGGTGGTCCTGTCCCCACTCCTCTCCCCGGCTGGTTCTGCACAGGGCAGCGAATGCTTCAGACCACACGCAGTTCCCCCTTTTGGCTACGCTGGCACCCTGCCCAGCCATGTGAGTTGTAATTAGGTCAGTAAAGAGTGTTATGAGTCATTAAGAAAAAAAGAATCCAAACCAAAGCAACCACAGTGCAGACAGGGTGAGATGTCCTTTCTACTAAAAGCAGTACCAAGGTGTGAATAAACTCTTTATTTCCGTACCAGGCTTTGAGCACCAAGTTGCATTTCCAGTCCAGCAAGGGCTCGCACCCAGAATAAGGTAAAGTCAGTGTGACAATCTCTGCCAGACATTCAGCCAGAATAAGGCTGTAAAAGACTATGTCAAAAGAGCATGTCTATCACAGAGCTTCTCTCTATTTGGACCACCCAGCCTCCCTTCTCTTCCATCTCTTGGCTGCTTGCTTTCCCCCCTTTTAGAGCTGCACCAATAAGTTCAAATCTCTGGCAAAAACTGAATAGCCTGGACTATTTTCAGCAGAATCTCAATAAAGAAGTCTGGCCTGAAAACTTAATTATTTGTATGCATTCCTCACACATGTATCTAGCAAGCACAATCTTGGATCCTTTGTGTCTTCCCCAGGTACAATATCAAAGCAAATTCTACCCCATATATTCAATGTCATGCGACGAAAACCTTATTGGGATGCCAGTGGATTATTATTTATACTTTAAGACTGCCTGAAGTCTCCACATAGCAATCAGGCCACGTCTAGCTGGACACTTTCAAAAAAAAAAGAAAAAAAAAGAAAAAATATCTATATGAAGGTTTATATGAAGTCAAGGTGGTCCAACAGTCCAGTATCACCAAGAAATCTGCAGCAGTGAAACCACTAGCTCTGAACTGCAAATCCTTGGAAGGTGGGAGAAAACACACTGAAAAATTGTCAAATTATCAGTACATCTGCAATGGGCTGCCGTCAAAGACAGAAGAGAGGCTTAGCAGAACCTTTGCTCACTTTCAGTACAGCGGTTCTGGCATGTTTAACCTCAAACACCCATGGTATCAAATGCTGCATTGTCTGCTCGTGTGCTAAGCTATGCTTACGCTTTGAGTACACATATACTCCTCACCACAGAAACAAGTGAGAAACCTTCTGTGCTGTTATAATCAACACTGTTCTCTGCTTTTCTTCTTCAGCATGTACCACAGGTGCCATATCACCATCTGACTCATATATCAGTTTCTGCATCTCTCCCATAACACAAAACCACACAATCAACACGAGGTGTTCAAGTCATCCACAGTATAAGAAGGCCGTTCTCCTTCATTCTCCTCCAGTGTTCAGGCTAGTGAGACCTTTCAAACATTACAAGTGTCATGGGGAAGGGCAGGTGTGGCCTGCATTCTCTGCAAAGTATGACTCAGGCTCCAAGTATGACCACAGTAGGAATGTCCCCCCGGCTGGTAATGCTACTGAATCAAGAGCAGCAGAGGATAAAACACTATTTCCTGGCTTTCCTGTCTATAATCTGTGAACAAGGGAAGATGGACAGCCTTTAAAAGTTCACATGGTGCAAGTAGGATTTTGCATGGGCGCCCTTCAAGAATAGTATTCCAGCATTAGCGGCAATCCTTCCTTCCAGCCTGAATACTTTGTGGGACAAGAGCAATCTAGCCCAATCCCAAATGGAAAAAAATGGTGACACACATATATTTCTTTTCTCCCGGTTGTACTCACCAGACCTAACTCACCTGTGATATCCTCTCTGCAGATACCACGAATTCAAAGTACATTACACTTTTTTTCTTCTTAAATCAAACAAACAACATTCCCCCACTGCAATAATAGGTTTTGTTTTGCAAAACAAAGGCAATACTAACTTCACAAGAGCCTTGTGAAGCTCAGTTCTTTCATGTCTGCCCACTGCATGATAAACACAAATATACTGTCAGTGTCAACAGTATATGAAATAGGCAGAATACATAGAGCTTATTTACCAACAAACAAAAATGTAGAATTTTAAAAAGTTTTTTTTTCCAAATAAACAAGTCTGTACAGACTGCCTGCCACCTAAATTGCAAGTCACTGTGGTTTAAGCTGGAAATGGGTCTGCTAAGGGCAAAAGAGTCTAGGTCTGCTTTCTCAGCAGCAGGCTGGTTACTCTGTGGCTATTTTCAGTTTAGCATTTAGATTATCACACTTATTTTTTTGCTCAGAAGCAAAACAAGTACAGTATTTAGGTGAAACTGCTCCTTTTTTTTCTTCTCAAATATATAAAAGTTTTTGAAAGATAATATATTTTACATAACATAATTCTTGGAAAGCATTTGAAAATATTTGAACAATAATAAATCAATATTTTGTATAAACATGGATATGCATTAAATTGTAATACTACAATATAGTTTGCAAACCAAGTACTTGGATATTGAGATGGCCTTAGATCCTTTTCATTGCTAATTTATGTAGAAATAGATGTAAAAAAATGACTGAGATGTGCATTCACTCTCATTTTCTTAAGAAAAAAAGAACAAATAAGTGCCAGATTTAGCTACTCAATCCCTGTTCTTTTTCTTTTCTGTAAGCTGTTGTCTTTAAAGTAGTAAGGAATCCTACAGACATACACCAGTTATTTCACATTCAGTTCAGTGAAGCCTGTCATGAAAAGAACAAATCTTTCCTTATCTTTTCCCCACCCCCTTGTTCTCTTGTTATTAAGTAACAGTGAGTCTGACAGAGAGTATCGTTTATCTCCTATTCTAAGTGTGAATGACCAGTGATCCAGTGTGGGCTGCAAGCTGATTTTAATAGTGACAGCACAGAACTGGGACTACTCCAGTGAGAGGATGGAGCTGTTTGTATTTACTAGATTTGATGCTGACTGTGGAAATAGGCCGAAATTATTTTATGTTGGTCTAATGAACATGTGGCTGGGAACAGAAGTGTCTTCGCTTTATGCTATCCCCACTGAATGAAAAAAAACCCCAACACTCCAAACAAAACCCAGGAGAGTCCCCTCCCTATGAAGCACTATTTACTCACAGGTCTGCCACGCTTTGATCCAGAGACTCTCCCTCCATTTGACTTTCATTGTGGAGTGAGTCTGATTCCTGTACTTGGCACAGCTCCTCATCAGTAATTATATCAAATGTTGCATCATCTGGTGGTTTAGAGGCTTCACTTGTAACTGTGCCATAAAAGGACATGAAAAGAAACATAAAAAATATTAGCTAGTTGTCTGGTAAACAAACAAGGAAAACCCTTAAGGGGGAAGACTGGGCCATTCATCTACCTTTACAGAAGCATTAGGTAACTACTAGAACCAACCGAAAATCTCAGGCTGACTGACACTCACTTAATATACATACAAATTTCTGTCAATACTAATCAAATTCAAAGATGGGAACAGTCCCACGCTGAAAACACTCCATGAACATGCTGGTCCTTGGAGCAGGAGGTGACCACGCGGTTCCTTGGAGAACGTTTAAGAACCCTACTTATTTCTGCACACCATGCAAACCATGCACTAACCAAAAGCCCTCTCGGATGGTGACACAGGTGATTCCAATGAAGCTGGTGATCCTTCCTGGTTGGCACTGGATCCAGAGTCATCTGTACTGTCCACAATGACTCTGGGCTTATTAAAGCAAGCTCTGCAGCAACGTTCTTTTTTTCCACCAGGCTTTGTCACCATGTAGTTGTTGCAGCAGTAGTAGCAGAAAATGCGACCGCACATTCTAGAAATGATTCAAAACCAAAGGTGTTAGAATAGTACCACATACAGGTGGAACGTATCTAGTTCACAGAGTTTGGGGCTTTGTCATAACGGTCTTGTTCTCTGCAAAAGCCCAAATGCTACATCCATGGCAGAACTCATACTACAGACTGTGCTACTTTCTGAGGTGAAGCAAGTTTTCTTGACAAACACAGGACAGAAATTCACATTCATACTTTTCTGCCTTAATAAATAGGGAAAACAGAAAAAAACATAAAAATACTAAAAAAATTAAATAGATGTTTAAATATAAAGACATAAAACAACTAAATACCCAAAATATGCAATACAAATAAATAATATATATATATTAAATACACACAAAGGAAATGTACTTAATAATATGCCATGGGCCAAATCTCATACTCAGTTAGAGCAAAACTCTATTTGATTGTAAGGACCGTAAGAACATGTCCACGCATCTCTACTTAGTAATCACCCCTCTCCCCTTCAGGCACAGAAGAAGAAACGATATTGGACACATGCATGAACATTCATCCCTTCTGCCCTCTCTGCTCTGCAGTCTTTCACTATAAAACCTGTCAACTACTTTTTAATGAATGTGTTAAGATTTTCATAAGGAAAAGCACTCAGCAGGGATGACTGTTACTGTGAATTTTTAGTGGTTTTGTTTTTCATAATCACTTAAACTATCAGTAGGTGAAAAAACAAGCAGGTTTCACAGATTTTAGTAGAAATTAGTAATTTGGAAGTTGTTATTGGAAATGACTTCACTATTCATTAATCCCCATCGAATGCTCCCAACATTCATATGCAGTTGAAACAGTCCCAGTACTACATACCTTGCATGATGAATCAGGTCATGAGGATAAAGAACAGTAAAGAGCCAAAACAGACATACCACAAGACCCTGAAATGTATCCACTTAAATATATTTGAATAAATCTAGATCGGGTAATTGATAACTCCAGGCAGGCTAACTGTAGAGGAAATAGATTAACTTTTTCAAAAAAGATTACTCTGCAATTTGTAATTATCTCTGAACATACCTTGTGTAAATAACCAAATTTATAATTGCACAGCATCTTGGATTTGTTCTGGAATACTTCTACCACAGGAGCAAAACCATCTCAGTGAATATTGCTTACAACATGCACAGAGCAGTGTATAATAAATATATTAAAAACACAGTCCTTCAAAGAAACACACTATGTAGGGTATGATTATCTTTGTTGCCAGAAATGAAAAACTGACAGACTCCCCAAGTCAGAGTTGCATTCAGATATTTGCCTTAATACATGTCAAGGGACCTTTCCATTAATGTTTCTCAGCCCCTTGTGAGCTCATGTGTTCTTTCAGCCTTTACAATGTTCTGTATGAATGATTTCAACCAATGAACTAGCTGGGATAGAGTTAATTTTTTTCCTAGTAGCTGGCATAGTGCTACGTTTTGGATTTAGCATGAGAAGAATGTTGATAGCACACTGATGGTTTAGTTGTTGCTGAGTAGTGCTTGCACTGGTCAAGGATGTTTTCAGCTTCCCATGCTCTGCCAGGTGCACAAGAAGCTGGGAGGGGGCACAGCCAGGACAGCTGACCCCAACTGGCCAGAGGGCTATTCCAGACCATATGACATCACGCTCACTATGTGAACTGGGGGGAGCTGGCTGGAGGAGTGATCACTGCTCAGGGACGGGCTGGGTGTCGGTTGTCAGACAGTGGGGTCTTGCATCACTTGTTTTTCCTGGATTTTGCTTCCCTTTCTTTGTTTGTTGTTGTTTTCCTTTTCACTACATTATTATTATTATTTATTTATTCCAATTATTAAACTGTTCTTATCTGAATCCACCAGCTTTCTTACTTTTGCCCTTCCAGTTCTCTCTCCCATCCCACCAGTAGGGTGAGGGTGAGCAAGTGGTTGTGTGGTGCTTAGTTGCCGGCTGGGGTTAAATCACAACAACCATTAAGAAGTGTTTCATCCATTTAAATGATCATACTGAATTTTGCTTTTGAACAGTGTAACAGAGTTCAACAAACTGACCTGCAGTGGTGTCGGCGCACCATCCATGAGAACTCTCTCTGGCAGTCCAGACAATGATTAACCTCTGTGTCCCCCTGCCACCTTTGCTCTGCACTAAGCTTCTGCTGGAACTCCAGAGCATCTGACTTTTGCCACAAAGCATCTTTATCTCTGCAGAGACACAGTTAAATTAAAGAAAAATACATTGAAGTTATCAGTCCTGCTTAACTGTTAACCAAACTCAATTTGAATGTTAGTGAAAGCTTCACAATAAAAATTGCTTTGCTGTAACTTGTGAGGAGCTTTCAGAAATATAGATCAAGAAACTTACCAAAACTTTTGGGAAGGCTGGGAGAAAAACACATGCCATGCAGAGAACTACACATTTTTGCAAAACAGACAGCAAATTAAGGAAGAGATAATACTGGGTGTTGCATTTTTGACTGCATTATGGAAATGCAAAACTTCAACTGCTGATGAACTTGGCCATTACCTGTATCTTCAGTTCAGGAATACAAGACTGAACCACCCAGGCAGTATCCCTTAACAGCCTAGACAGGATGTTAATTTCTGCCTTCTGTTTATTTTGATGCCAACCTGATAAGTTCTATCAAACGTTCTTCAAGGAACTGCTTTGTTCTCGTCAGATCATCCAGTTCAGCAAATAACTTCTGGTCGCTGCTATCTTTGTCTGCTGCCACCTTGCTGAGCTTCTCACTGTAATCCAGGACCTTCTCTTTTGCTTCATCAGCTTCTTTTTGGATCCTGATCAAATACAAAGGCAATTAAGAATTGTTTTTAGATCATGTGCATTCAAGTCTTCCTCATGGAAGAAAGGGGTCCTCCACCCTGATAAACAGGTAGTTTCAGTGTGAATGTTTTTTATAGCTAGCCAGAATCTCTCCAGTTTTCTGCATCACTGAAAGTGCACACAGATCCATTATCTGGTAAACACAGTCAGCAATCAGGAATTTCTTGGATGCCTTGCTTATAGTGAAGCTTATGATGGCTATCACCCTGGAAATAAAATCAGTGTCCTTGGAAGCTAAGATCATCAGCAGCTGCAAACTGAGCTAAACCAGGAAAGTCCTACAGCTGCAGGTTGTCCAGCATTTGCAGGTTGCACACAAAAGGGCTGTTTAACTCATACTCCTCCATAGCCTTCATGTTCACAAAAGGAAAGCAAAACCAGTTTCTCACTATATTCTTCTAACACAGGGGCAATTCAAAAACTAAAGGTTAAGACAACTCAGTTCACTGCACAGTCAGTGGAAAGAAGTGTCCCCAGAAAGCTTCCAAGAATATAACAGTCTTGACTTGACGATACTGCAAGTCCTAGCAATGGATCAAAAATGCTACAGCAACACAACATGAGGCACTGAGCTGGTCTGAACTCACTCAGCAAACTCAGCTGAATTCAAATATTTTGATAAGTTACATTTTGTACCGACAACCTTCAGCACAGATCAAGAATTATCAATCTTCCCACAGAGAGTGATGATATCGGCACAAACATGTAAAAATACATAGGTTTTGGTTAAGCCATTAGACTCTCTGCAAGCCCATGCCTCATGAAGATCTATTTTGGACTGCCAGATAATCTGCACCAGATAGGCCCACATCACAGACCTTGGAAACACATCTGCATGACATACTTTAAACTGGTAAGAAACCTGACACAGACATGCAGGATGTGGTCCCATTCAAATAATTCTTACTGATTCCCTGAAACTTCATGGAGATGAGAGAAAAAACAAACTGTCAAAAAGCACAAATTTTCCATTCCTTATGAAAGATGAAAGAAAAAGAGCCAATATTGGTCTTTTAATTTTGTGACTAATGAATAAGGTAAAAGGAGGTTATAAAATGTCTTGCAGTTTCACAAAAGAAGACATACAATTGTCTGGTTTTGCCTGGGATAGAGTTGATTTTGTTCCTCATAGCTGGCACAGTGCTGTGTTTTGGATTTAGCATGAGAAGAATGTTGACAACTCAATGAAGGTTTAGTTGTTGCTAAGCAGGGCTTACACTGGTCAAGGACTTTTCAGCTTCCCATGCTCTGTCAGCTGTGCAAGAAGCTGGCGGGGGGCACAGCCAGGACAGCTGACCCCAACTGGCCAAAGGGGTATTCCAGACCATATGATGTTATGCTCAGTATATAAGCTGGGGGGAGATGGTCGAGGGGGCAGTGATCGCTGCTCAGGGACGGGTTGGGCATCGGTCAGTGGGTGGTGAGCAATTGCATTGTGCATCACTTGTTTTGTATATTCTTTTATCATTATTATGATTATTGTTGTTGTTATTCTTTTCCTCTGCTGTTTTATTAAATGGTCTTTATCTCAACACACAGGTTTTACTTTTTTCCCCAATTCTCTCTCCCATCCCACTGGAGAGGGGGGGAGTGAGCGAACGGCTGTGTGGTGTTCAGCTGCCTGCCAGGTTAAACCACAACAATGAATTTATATCATCAGCTAAATTAACAATACAATACAATACAATAAAACCTAAACCTTGCATTCATGTGTGCTGTGTAATTTACATATTTCTCATCTGAAGTGTCAACCTAATATTCCCCATCAGTGCCCATGCACTATTTGCCCTATATAAACTCCGTGGCATATGCTACTTCATAAACCACAGCAATTTTCAATATGCTTTGGTTGTTCGCCTCTTGCTTGGCTTACAATTAATGGCTTGTGTAAAGAACCCAAACTCCCACCTTTCCAAGAGCTCTCTCAGAGTCGTCACTTCCTCTTCCTTCTGCAGCCGAGCAGATTCTGATTCAGACAGCTGCTCTTGTGCTTCATCCAGCTTTCTAGACAAACTCGTGTTTGCAGCCTAGTGAAAAAAATTACTGTATTCCCTTACATATAAAACCAACACTTTACCAAGCATTGAACAATTACCAAGACACCTAAACAATGCTTTAAAAGAATCGGTTAAAGCCAAACCACCAATTAAGATATTATTGTATAAGCAGACACTAATTAGTTGTGTACTAGTGATTGATTACTTCTGTCACACTGAATAAGGGATAGACTCTAAAGTGAGGCAGTATTAAGCCTGTAATTCTTATGAGTCCCTGTCAGTTCAGCTTTTGCCTCCTTATGAAGGAAAATCTCTCAAAAATAATGGCAAAAGAATACGCCCTAAAGGTTTTTCACCACCTAAAAGTTTCAAAAGGAAAAAAATTGAAAATTAAGAAAATGTCATTTACTAAAGCTATATGGACCATGAAGGACAATGGAAGCAAAAACTTCTTTCAGAGCTAGCCTCTCTGGAGAAGCCTGCCAAAGTTGGAGTCCTCAGGGAACATACCTAACTGCATCTAAAGGTGTACATATTTCTGCTAGCAGTTAGGGCCAGGTTTAATAACCTTAACTTTCTTCTTTCTGGATTCCTTACACCTCAGTAAGACCCTCCTAGCTCAATTGTTTGATAAATGTATTACAAAAGTCCTATTTCTTTCTGGCTGCATTATTTCTCAGCCAGATTAATTCTCTGATTCAGTGCCCCTTGCAGCCTGCAAGCAGTTGAATCCACGCTTGTGGTCGTGGG